GGCGCGCGCGCGCGCGCGTGTGTGTGTGTGTGTGTGTGTGTGTGTGTGTGTATATACAATACAATACACGTTTTTCGTGTTAACGAGATTATAGAGAAATAGCGGGACAAGCGACTCTCGAACCATAAGGGTCGTTGTAATTTTTGTAAATAATTGTAATTGTGTAGCGCGGTAGACTCGACCAAGCGGGGGGAGTCCTCGCGTGGGGCGAAACGCCCCGGCGGAAACTGTCAATTATTGTCGTTGTTCCCACTCGTGTACTCCAGAAAGCGGGATTATCCGAGATTAGAACTGCCTCGTTGATATTCGTCCTTCGAAAACATTTGCAAATTTCGTCCGGTGAATTTATTATGAGGGCAAGAAAAACTCTGTGATAAAAAGAATCTCTCCCATTTTTTTTTCCGCAGCAGAGAAGGAGGAATTTCTGAGAAAGGTCTGCAACGGTCAGACAAGCCCACTTTTTCTATTTCAGATATCAGCTAAGAAGCTGAGAAAACATTTCCGAGATATCTTGTTTTATCGCACCGATCGGCGGCGAGATAGAAATGGACGACCCGGCCGCGATAATCGGACATGTCTATATTTTTCTATCATTATGAAAAAGCCGGGGAATTGCGCGGAAGATATCATGAAATATTTTCGTTTTGGCTGGGAGTTCACAAAGCTGAAAAGAAACTGTGAGAAACAAAATTGATAAATACAGCCGTAATAAATAAATCTGTCTTTTTTTATTATCACAGAGAAAGAAGATGATTGAAAAAAAAAACTCAGAGTATCGTAAGGTACTTTATCACGAAGAAATTAGTAGCGAAGTTAAATAAATTAATTAAATTGTCAATTACTTTTCTTTGACGTGAAACAAATTTAGCTTAAGAACGAATAATGTTATTATATTTCTTATATATAATTGTAATATACATCGGAATTATTTTTTTGTTACAAGTGTGATATTCAGAATAATTTGTCTTTTTAAATAGATATAAAAATCAAAAATTAACGTATCTCAAAATAATTAAATTAATCTCTCAATCTGTGTTCTCCGAGCTTACAAATATATTTGAACGTACTTCTTAATTATTAACAAACAAAGGATCATCTAAAAATTTATAGATTTATATATATATATATATATACATATGCGTAATAGAGCTGTCGTGATTATGTTAAGCGATAATTAACAATATTAATACTCGAGTATTAAGTAATTAAAGCAAAAGATACTAAAATCATGTACGTTGGGTTTGTTTCGCGACTGAACGATTGCGATAAAATGCGATTAAATGCGGAAGAAGCGAATAAAAGTTTTTTATCCAGTTGCAGACCTGGGAGAGAACTCGTGATGTCGATCGATACTCCATTAGTAAAGCGAGCGCTAAATAATGGACGACTCATTCGTCGAAAAAAAAAAAAAGTGGGCTTGCCCGGTTTTTGCCGGCGAATCTCGGTCGACGAATCGAAAACTCGCGTGCTAATCACCCAACCGAGAGAAAGAGAGCCATTCCAACCCCGTCACGTCGGCCGCACGGGTTTTTTCACGTTGATACATTTTTTTACGAAGCTTCGCGACATCCGGCGAACCTTTGCGCGGCCGGAAGGGAAGAAGGAGGAGCGAAAGCAAAACGCGGTTGAGCATCCCGACGATTATTGTTTAAGTTTTGAATAAGATTACCCTCCCCCCCCCCCCGACGAGAAATTAGTCTCACGCAATTTTTGTACTTACCTTCCCGTCGATCTTTCCTTCCTCTCCTTCTTTCCTCTTCCCCCCCTCTCGTCCCTGCGCCCCCCCCCTTTCCCATTACCCCATTTGTTTGTCTAACTAGCTGTATATTCTCCACACGTGTACACGTGGACGGCCTCGGAGATATTGAGACCGCCGACGAGAAGCGAAGCTATATATGTGTAGACGACCTGACAAAAGTGAGAATAGATGGCCTACACTTTTATACGCCGTGTAATGTTTTTTATCTCCCTCCACCTCGGCAATCTCTCACGGTCGTAAAGCCACCGCGATTTGTTGACGCCCCGTCAATTTCCGTTCCTTCCTTGTCCACTTTTTTTATTACTCGTTTACGATCATGAACGTGGTGGTGAGATTCTTCGTCCGGTAGTTTCTCTTCCTTTATTCCCGCTCTCCCGTGAAGTATCAGCGGATACTTTCAGGACTTTCCTTTTTTTAGAGAAGAATAAGATATGTTAATTTGACTAAGGGGATGCGTTTAAGAGCCCTCTTTAAGAGCAGAGGGCTCTTAAAAAAGTAAATAAGGTAAATAAAATCGCGCGTTTCAGGAATGGAATCCCCGAAGATCGCCCGAGGAGCGTCGATCAGAAGAGGAGATTCGTATCGCGCAAAACGTCCGTTATCTTGAATCGCGATGGTAATTCCAAGAGGAAAAGGGGACGGAGGTTCATCGTGAGTTCTACACGACTTTCATCTGGTGAAAGGTCGAACCGATCGGTATCACGCGGAATGATTTCACGTGGCCGACGAGTGGACTTCCGCCGTGTCGGTGCATCCGGCACGCGAACCTGTTGAGCTTCCCACAAGAAACTCGAACGGCCGGGCAGGTAAGACTCTATCTGAAGCTAAATAAGGCTAATGGTTTCGTTCTCGCGTCATTCAAACGTCATCTCGATGAAGAGGAAAGTTGCCGTTTTTCGCCTTCGGGAAAAGGAATTTGTACGGAGCTCATTCCGGTAGCTTCTTCGATGTTCAAGGGCATGATTGAGTGGAAAATGAAGTGGAAGGCACATAGTCGGATCGCTATCGTTTTCCACAAGTTCGACAAAGATTTATCGAGGCACCAGCCATTTTGAGCCTTTGAATGTTCCCCGAGTAAAGTAGAACGGGAAGAGACCTCGAGTGGGCTAGTCGTGTTCTCGTTTGCTTGAAAAACAGTGTTACGAAAACACAAAATTATTAAGTAAATTATTGAAATGGAAATCTTTATCTCTATTTTTAAATTTAAAACATCCATGTCTATATCTCCGCTTTTGTATTTCGATCTACGTTAGCTTTCTGACGGAAATTTTCTAAATTCCTACTAACTTTTTTCTTACATTTTCTTGAGAATTTCGAATTAATCATATAAACAAATAATGTATGAAATATTCTTGTAAATATTTGTTGATATTATTTACTTTAATATTTTATTTTGAGATTTTATTTATTTTAATATACTTCTTTGTACGAAATATCTAGAAATGCGGAACAAAAGAAATAAAAGAAGAGAACTTGTTCTCTAATTGACTCTTGTTGACTATTCAATAATACTACTTATTTCTGAATAAAGATCTTAACTTGAAAACTTAAAATCTAAAATAAGTGAACTGTTTCACGACAACAGTTTTCAAAACAACGTTTCGTATCTTGCACGGGTCTTTTAAGTACTTAGATGATTTGCAAAATTGAAACGATCTATGTTTAACTGACTTATCTTTAACTGAAGATAATTTAAAGTGACTTTTTTCTGGCAGATGTGTCGCGACGTGTTGATCTAACTGTGGAAAGAGTCCGCGAATATCGAGATTGTTCCGCGCGATACCGCGATTGGTTT